AGGTGACCCATTGCTGACCCTGCCCCTCTCCCTGCTGCAGGACATGGACTCTCTGGCCCTGCTGGTGGCCCACAGGCTCTCCCAGCAGCTGCGCTTCACCTGCTACGGGCTGGCGGCCGCGTTCCTCAGCATCCCCCGCAGCCTGCAGCTCCGCGTGGGCCGCGCTCTCAGCGCCATCACCGAGCTCCACSTCACCTTCTCCAGGGCAGCCTCCATCCAGGATCTGCCCAGCAGTGTGCTGAGCCACAGCCACAGGGAGCTGGATGTGGTGCAGGAGAACATGGACGAGCTGCTGGAGTTCCTGAAGGACCGCGATCCTCTGTCCCGGCCCAGGGAACCCTCTGACACCAGCGATGAGGAGGAGGAGGAGGCAGGGGCTGGGCATCAGGAACCTTCCAGCACCCCCGGGGAAGGGATGAAACAATAATTGCTGTTGGCATGAACCCCTCTGCAAGCGTGAAGTGGAGAGAATTGTCTCCCTCACAGCTGCTTGTACTGGGCCACAACTGCTTAAAATAAAAACGCTGCATTCAAAAAGCTGCTGGTGGTGTCTCTTGGGCCAGGACTGAGTATGGCTCAGTAGGGTGAGCTGGGCTCTTTGAATCCATCCCTTGGTGCTGGCAGGGTGCACCTGGGGGTGCAGGGAGTGGGGAGCAGATTGCACTTCTGTTCTGTTCATCAGTAGGATGAGGAACCAGGAGCAGAGGTTGCATCTCAAACCCTCCAGGCCCCTGCTCCAAGAGCCTGAGTGTCAGTGTACAGGAAGGATCCCAGCCCTGGTGTCCTGGGCAGCTGTAATTCCTAATTCCTCCTCTCTCCCTAGCCTGGGGACAAATGTTGGCCCTGTGCTGTTCTTGGGGAGCTGCAGAGCCTTGGCATCCCTTGGCATCAATCCCCCAAGGCCTAATTTGGGTTTGAATTTCAGTTTGGTGCAATAGGAGGGTGTGGGAATGTCTGCCTGGGAGAGTTGTGGGCTCCTGATGGATTCAGCAGGGTGAGGGTGATGGACACTTGTTACCAGCACTGTCCAGGGGCTCCTGGTGAGCTCAGAGCTGTCCCAGTGCCCTGCCTGGCACCCTTTGGAAGAGGATGGTGACCCCAATGCCCTCAGTTGGGCCAGGCAGTGCTGTGGCTCAGGCTTTGGAGCAGGAGCCTGTGGGATTTGAGATGAAATCTTTGCTCCTGGCTCCTCATCCTTCTGCCTCCAAAACAGAAGTGGAATCTGCTCTCATGTGAGTATTGCTTCCTCCAGACTGACATTTTCTATTTTAATATAATTAAAATTGTTTCATGGGGGTCAGAAACAGGGACTGGGAATGGGGCTTTTTTTTTTTTTTTTTTTTTTTTTTTTTTTTTTTTTTTTTTTTTTTTTTTTTTTTTTTTTTTTTTTTTTTTCGTGGGTGACAATGCAGCCTTGAAGCAGAACTTTCCTCACTCTCTCTCATAAGAGTGACCGCTCTCATTTTCTAGGTTTTTTGTGAGGCAGGGCTGTGGGGGCAGCAATAATTCCTTGATGCAGCACAACCCCCTCACGTGGGGAAGGTTTGGATGCTGATTCCCTGAGCTCAGCAYGTCTGGTCCCAGACAAGTGTGCTCCTCATGAAATAACCCGTTTGTGTGGAAGGCAGGATGATCATGAAATTAAAGCTGCCAGGCCAAGGTGCAGCTGGGAGGTGACAGATGAATTGCAGGGTCATCCCTGCCCTGTGTGCTCTCAGCTGCAGGGGAATTCTCCTGGGGAAAAAGCTCAGCATTTCTGCCTCCTGTGACCCCTGCTGAACGTGGGGAGTGGGAATTGGGGATGCTGGAGCTGCTGCTGCTTGGTGGGAAATCAACTGTGCTGTGTGTTCTTCATAGCAGAGCTGTGCCTTACCAGCTGGGGACGCCTGAAATGTGCCTGGTTATAAAAGGGAATTGTATTGGTTTGTATTGGTTTGTCAGTGCAGTCCATCTGCTCTGTGCTTGGCCCAGAAAATCCTGCTGCTTCTGCCCATGCATCAGGGGCGTGTGTCCTTGCATGATCATTAAATCTATTTAGATCTATTATCACAATCTTGGCTGCTGGTGCCTGGAACCCACAGCCTGTGGGACCCTCTGTAGCTGCAGCTGGGAATTCCAGAGCTCTGTGGGGCTGCAATCTCCCAGCTGGAGATGGTGAGGAACAGCCCAGCACCTGCAAGGCTTTTGTAGGCCATGGAGATTGCAGTAGAGGGGCCACAACAGGTAGAAATGATATTTTCATGGCATTTCCAACTTGAAAACAGAAGTGGAAGCCTCTCCCTCTTTTCATGTTAAACACCCAAGGGATTCAGGGAAACACAGAGACTCCTTACACCAAGAGGGGAAAACTCGGAGTAGGTGCACATGGGAATATTGTTGACTTTTTTGTCTTATCTGTTCTCATCCATGCTGCAGAGGCAGCAGGGGATAAAGGTGGGAAGAAGCTGGGAATGATGGATGGATGGATGGATGGGCTTCCTGCAAAGAGTCTGAAACTCCTCTGAGCTCTGGGAAAGTGTTCAGGTTGTTCTCCATTGGCTCTGAGCTTGCTTGTCTGATTACCCGGGGTTATTCTGGCTAATTTTGGATAGAAATTAGAAATGACAGCCCTAAGCAAACAGCTGGGCAGGGAAGATATGCCCTGAGGCATCTCCTCTGGCTCTCAGCAGCCCTGGGAGCGATGCAGTGCTCCTTAATTCTGGTAATGATTCCCCTGGTGATTGTCTYACCCTGCCCTGTGCTGCTCTGCTCAGTTCTGGGCTAATTTCCATTTTAACCCCCTCACAGGGATAGTGGCTTCTTATTCTACTTTTGGTGATGCCACCATGTCCCTCAGCCCCTTTGCTGAACATTTCAGTTATTAAATTCTCACTTTCATGTACTTTGCTGTTCTTCCTTCAGTCCCTGCTGTTCCCTGCTCCAGTGTCTGACCTGCAGGGCAGGGAATGGATGTGCTGCTGTTGGGTGAAGGCCACCTTGGGCATGGCTCCAGCAGCCTCTCACCTTTTCTGAGTGCAGTTAGGAAGCATTAACTGACCTGTTTCCACATTTTCCCACCTGGCAGGGGCAATGGCTCAAGGAGAGTTTCCCAAGCAGCTTTGTTGAGGCCATAGATGGGGAAAKTGAAGTTCTCAAGAAGTGCCCAGAGGCAAAACTCTGAGCTCCTTGCAAGCAGCCACAATTTCCCTTTCTCCCTGCTGTGGTTTCTGTCACTCTCGGATATTGCCATCCCTTCTGCAAAGCTGTGTTATTACTTGCTGCACAATACACTGAATTTATGAAAGGTTTGTGGCCTCCCTGAAGGGCTGCTCGGGGAGCTGGGGCCCTGCACAGGCAGAGCTGGCTGAGTTCCAGTTYCTGTGTCACCTTAAGCTGGAAAAATTCAAGCTGTTCAAAGCTGACTGGAGTTAATGTGGAATGGGATGGGATGAGATTTGTCAGTGTGGGGGCAAAATCAGCTGCTGGGCCCTGCTCTGGGCAGGCAGGGTTTGTTCTGCTGGGCAGCACGTGGCTCTGTGCTCTGCTCCTGTCACCTCCCCTGTCCCCTCCCTGTCCCGCTGCATCTCCTCCTGGCTGAGGAAGCCAAGTGTCCCGAGTGTTCACCCATCCTGAGCTCTCCCATTTCAGTTAACACCAACTGCAGTACCCTTTCCCCTGGCAGGGAAATCCAACATTCTGGGCTGTTCCTGCTGCCCTCCCTAAACCCCTGCCCTGCCTGGGGGTGCCTGATTTTGGAGGAACACCAGGCTGGCAGACCCCAAAGCTGGAGAGCTTTCCCTGCTCTCTGAGCTGGGCTGTACCAGCCTGCAATGGCCGGGTGGGATCAGTGGGGGTTTGGGGGGTTTGGGAGCCCCGAGGGCACAGGTGTTTTCAGTGCCATCCCTTTGCTGTGCCCTGCATTCCCTCTTGAAGCATTCCAACGCTTTTCCAGCCACTCAGCTCTTCTCTCACTCAGGGGCCTCTTGAGGCAGCTCCTGGCAGGACTTTGAGCTGGACACTTCCCTTGCTCTCCTTCCCTGATGGAAGGATGGTTTGGGGGTCAATAAATCCTTTCCAGCTGCCTTACACCCCCAGTGTGTGACAATCCCCAAGGATCCCTGCAGGGTTTGTCAGAGCCTCTGCTGCCTCCAGCCCTGCCAGGCTCTTGCCCTGATGGATGCAGGGCTGCCTTTGCTGCAGAAAACAGGAGGACAWGGAGCACMRCCAKCGAGTCCRTGCCCTGCTCTGGCCACRGGAGCTGCCCCTGGGGYGAGGAAAATCCATSGGCAGGAGCAGTTCATTTGCAGCATTAACTTTCTGAACTCCCTCTGCCTCCTGTGTTTATTCAGATTCAGTGTGGAGTTGGAGGGGAGGTGATGCAGAGGGTGATTAACCCGCTGAGTGCTGGCTAATCTGATAATTAAAAAATGCTGTTACTCGCGTAATGCTGAGAGTGTGCTTGGATTTTGTGCCATTCTCTGTACGGATTTCACTTTTTCATTTGTGTTTTTGTTATTTTTGCATAATAAAGTGACAGGAGTTTGGTGCAGGCGGCACAGATTCCTGCCTGGCTCTCCCCAGGTGCCCTGGGAGCTGTTAAAGGGGATTTCCTGGGAAAAGAACACCTCAGAAGGATGGGGAGAAGTCTGAGGCTGAGGTGATGCCTTATCAATCAGGCTGATCTGAAAGAGAGGCCAGACAAATTTAAGAGAATGAGAACAGACAACTTTAATCCAGGCCTAACAGGCCCTCTGGTACATGAGGGCAGACAAAAGCCTCCTCCTGAGGCTACACCCAAAATGGACCCCGAGTCACGAGATCTTCACCTTTTATAAGTTCTGTCTCTTTAACATATTGGGTCTTAATTCTCCAATGATCTTTACACGTGATGATGTCAAACACCCCAAACTTGCTCCCCCCCCAACTTACTATTGTTTACATATTTTGGGGCTCTGAGGCAGCGAGGTGTCCTTGGATCCAGGCTCAGAGAGGAATTGTTTTGTGTAAAGATGAGAGAACAGCAGTTTTAGTGCTGTACTAGAGAAGTACAAGAATACAGATGCATGAAAATAGGGAAACTAAAAATCCTAAGGCAKCAGAGGCTGGAGTGAGGTGGAGAGGAAAAGCAGAGAGACCTGGGGGAGGAGACACCAGGAGGGCTGGGGACAACCAGAGAGCAGAGATTGGGTGGAAAAACAGTGGGAAATCCTCCAAAATGGATTGGGATTAAAGGTGAGAATTCAGTGAGTGAGGGGGAGGAGGGGTAAACTGAGGATCTGGAAAATGGGAGCAGAAAARCAGGGACTGGACAGGGATGGGCAGGACTGGGGCAAAGTGGAGAARACTGGAGAGGAAGCAGATGGAAAGGAGCTAGAAGCTCCTTTTTTATTATTTTAAGGGCATTGTGTGTATATATTAACAAGTTAACTCACCGGGTATCTCAGTGAA